TGTAGTAAGTATGAAGTATATGGGATGACAACAAATATTCAAGATATTAACCCATATTCAAGCAACGTCAAGGAATATGGGATTTTATCTCAGTGATACATGTGCATTGTTCATTTTAGATTGAGTATGTGCTTCGCGGAATAATCCGGGTTGTGCATACCAGTTTTTTTTGTTAGAAATGCCACAGTGACTATATATACTTGGTACGTGACGTAATTTCCTCCTTTCTAAGTTAGCAGACGAGCACATGGGTAGGCTGGTTCATGCGATACAATCATTTCAATTTTGGATAATTCAAAAGGCGAACTTTAGACCTAAGGGGTGGTCACGAATAAGTGGCCCACCTTCTTAGGGTGTAATAACAAAATAAAAATAACAAATAATAACAATAAAAAACATTCTATGCTAATTACAAAACCAATAACGTTACAGGAAAAATTATCCGTATGATTACAGGTGCATGAAATATAGCATGTGTCAGTCTAACACTTGCATAAGGTCAACACAAGTGCATAGGAATGCACAGTCATTTAAATCTCATAATCAACGCCTTTACTGTCTTAGATTAAGCACACTAAGTCATAATTCAGGTACTCTCAAAATTCTTTTGGACCTAAAACGAGCAGTCGTGCAGTGCTTTGGACAAGGGTTTTAAATCAGAATTTGAGTTATTAAAAACGTGGACGAAAACTATTTCTCCTACTAACTTCGTATCGGAAAATCAGAATGGGGACGTTTTTCCGGCCAAATGAGAGTAAGGGGTAGTTGAGTCTGGGGATATAATTTGACCCGATTACAAACACCCATCCCTCAAAATATCCCCAACCGGGACGATATGGTTGCTCGCGCTCGATCACGCTTTTTACCTACCCACTTCCATTTAACACTAACGCACACATAGACCCAAGGGAAACAACAGTTAACACTGAATAACTTTTGACACAGTTGATGCCATGTTTCGAAGACTTACAGGACCATTTTCTCTAAAACAGATAAGGCAAACGCATATATTGTATATATACAATAGGAAGTAAGCTGATAGGACTTTATTTTAGGGAAGCCTAATCCATGGACAAAATACTAGTATTTCCATATTATAATATGTTATACATTCTCTACATTAGTGTAATCGTCGCTTACAAAATAAGCAGGTTAAGGTAAAACACAACATTCATCTATTAAAATATCAATATTTTTGCAGGATGGGCAGACACTTGCCTGTGTGCTCAAATAGGGATACATCTTAAAATGGATAAAGCCCAGGGGTTCACAACATGTTTAGTGTTCTTGGAGCTAGAAATAGACACATTATGTAAATTCGATTCACAGCTACAAAACGCAAATCTTATCATACCCCCCCTCCCCCCCAGGGCCATACCGGGTAGCCGTGCATCAACCAGGCCTTACTGTAATATGTTTGGCATTAGATTTTAAACCTTGTCAATAGGTTACTAAAGCTAGATAACTAAACATTCATATGTGATTGGAATTTCGGGCTAAGAATGATACTGAAGAGAGTTCTCACGATACTCTACAGCTATTCACCGACATCGGGGGTGAATCCATTAGGACGAGACTTCCTTTACATGTCAAAATAAAAAAAAAAATTCTTGTATATCTGGTTCTTATTTTTAATAAGCCATCATCATCTTACAGAGCTTTGTACCTTATTGGATCATCTTTTTGTCAAATTTACAACAGTGTAGGTTTTAGGCTCAACATATATTCGTAACGCCGTATATAGCCACAATGGGCTTGTAATAGTAAAGTTTAATCAAGAAAAAATGAACTTAGGGTGGCTAATACCACATGAGCAGATCCTATTATCCCTTAAGCAATTTACTGCCTCTATCTAATTAGTGTGGTAGCAATCATGTCAATTGCCTATACCTGTAGCCGTCTTTTAGGACAAAGGGTAAGAAGTTACTTAAACGATTATATAGCAAACTTTATAGTCGAGGATGAGAAAAGCGTACACCGGGATTAGGGGACTTTATAAGTGCAATCGGGGAACTACCCCATTTAAGGGTAACTTAAACATCGGTCAAGTTAAGAACATTCTAATATAGATTCATTTTAATACCCGGTATTCTCCTCTTTAAGTCTAAGCGTCTTGAAAGGAATGGAAAATCTAACAGAAAGGGAAAGTCAAACACCTATTTCCATGATCTTAAATAGGTATAATATCATCACTCAGGCTCAATAAGCCTGTAATTATCGGTCAAATACTAATTATCAATCCCCCTTTAGCATACAAATCATATGATTTCTCATGTTTAATCAATAAGCATGATTTTTTTACATCGTTTACAATAAGGCATTAATTAGTTTTCCATACATGAGAGAAGATATATACCATACAGGCCCATGGCCTGTCGTGCTCACATGCTGAGAACAGTTTAACATATACTTTCATTGTAATTTCTTAATACAAGTGCTCTGACTACGCACATCTCTCGGTTGTGTTCAAGCATAGATACAAACCTAGATGTTAGATTACGACAAATTGATTTGTAGGTACAAACAAGACCTGTTGATTATATATGGTTATGTCACTGGATCAGTGGATGGAACTTATTACCACTGCAGTATAAATTTCCCTCTATTGCCCTGTAAAAGTCAAGAAAACGATAAAAACAATCATATTATACATTTCCTTTGCTATCCATTGTTATCTATGTTCTGTAATCCGAAGTTGTTTTAAACTCATTGTACTTGGTTGCTAACGGTTGTGCAAGTCGTACATTTAGAAATAATTCCACATTTTTAAATTTGAAAATGTGTGATTCTTATCAGTTTTACATCTTTACCCCCCCCCCCACCCCACCCCCGAATATGTCCTTTTCAGCATCATTGAACAAGAATCAATATCGTGCACAAATACCGCAATAGAATTGTTCACAGATCTTACAAAACTATGTTAGGTAGAAAGAGTTGTAGATATAATGTCCAACTGCCATCCTTGTAAATATACAATATACTGTCACATTACTGTCACATTATCAAGTCTGTCGCATTAGAAAATTCATCCATCTAATCCCAATATCATGCCTCGATTCAATAGCAAGCAACACACAATGTTTTTTGTCAAAATCATTTGGCTGTCTTTAAGTTAGAATAATTGCCGTGCTTTTCCATAAATAAGGAAAGTATTAATAAGGTAAGTAAAAGGAGTACCTTTATCATCACCATAGCTACTTAAATAATTAGGACAAAAATAAGCTTAACTATAAAAGGCGCTGGTTAGTGGTGACAGAGGTGGGGAAGTGACGACGCCGTCACCAATTTGTGTCATTGGTGGCGGATGCTCTTGCGAGCATGTGGCGTAATCGTCAACCCCACCTCACATGAACGAGTGCTGTTGTTAACTCGTATGACATATTGTGGCGCTATTTGCGCATTTACTTTGATTTTAAACATCGTATGACATCTTGTGGCGCTATTTGCGCATTTGTGGCACTATTTGTGCATTTGTGGCGCTATTTGCGCATTTACTTTGATTTTAAACATTGATAAATCAAATCTCAACAATATTTTTAATACCTGGATATGTTAATGGGATATTGGACATTGAACAATATTGTAATGATTTAACATTGATGACATTGTTGCCCATTCATTTGACATGGATACTATTTAAATGGGATATTGGTCCATTGTATCCATTTTGCGTGGCGTTGTGCATTCGCGCAATTTACCCAGTGCACAATATTTAGCCCATTTGGGGTCGCCACATTTGTTGTTGATTGCTGGGGAGACGACCCGGCGGCCGCTCCTAAAATTGTCATATGTCACCGCGACCAGATACGCCAAACTTCAAATAAATCCTTTAAACTAATTAAGCGTTATTTTATATAATAACATCTGAGATAATAACCCATATTCAAGCAACGTCAAGGAATATGGGATTTTATCTCAGTGATACATGTGCATTGTTCATTTTAGATTGAGTATGTGCTTCGCGGAATAATCCGGGTTGTGCATACCAGTTTTTTTTGTTAGAAATGCCACAGTGACTATATATACTTGGTACGTGACGTAATTTCCTCCTTTCTAAGTTAGCAGACGAGCACATGGGTAGGTTGGTTCAGGCGATACAATCATTTCAATTTTGGATCGATATTTTAAAAAACCCACCCTCCCACCACATTCTTATGCAGTTCACTGTTGAAAATTATATGTGTGTTTTTGTTATCATGATACTGCCGTGTTTTTGCATTATATATTTCAGGAAACGTCGAGACGCACGTAACACAACCGTCATCCGTCAACGTCGCGGTGCAGTTACAGATGTCTTTCTATCAGGATTGTGCCATGAAGATGATGTTAGTTCGTAATCGTCAACCCCACCTCACATGAACGAGTGCTGTTGTTAACTCGTATGACATATTGTGGCGCTATTTGCGCATTTACTTTGATTTTAAACATCGTATGACATCTTGTGGCGCTATTTGCGCATTTGTGGCACTATTTGTGCATTTGTGGCGCTATTTGCGCATTGTGGCGCTATTTGCGCATTTACTTTGATTTTAAACATTGATAAATCAAATCTCAACATTTTTAATACCTGGATATGTTAATGGGATATTGGACATTGAACAATATTGTAATGATTTAACATTGATGACATTGTTGCCCATTCATTTGACATGGATACTATTTAAATGGGATATTGGTCCATTGTATCCATTTTGCGTGGCGTTGTGCATTCGCGCAATTTACCCAGTGCACAAATTGAATATTTAGCCCATTTGGGGTCGCCACATTTGTTGTTGATTGTTGGGGAGACGACCCGGCGGCCGCTCCCAAATTTGTCATATGTCACCGCGACCAGATACGCCAAACTTCAAATAAATCCTTTAAACTAATTAAGCGTTATTTTATATAATAACATCTGAGATAATATTGCATCACAGATTATGGGACACTTACATCTTTATGGGGGTCCTATTGAGACAAATTTTAAATTCAAAATTAAACATGATACATACAAAAACAAAATATATTTACAATTCCAGGAAAGTTAAATAATACCATTAAATCCAGCATCTGGATATCTGTGTAATTTCTAGGGGGTTGTAAAAATTAGATGAAAAATAAAAGGTTTAAATGTGTAATTCCCATACATAACAACAGTCTTCAATATGAATTGGTAAAAATAAAAGTCACATTCAGATACTTTGAGGTCAGTGAGAAATAGTTTTTAAAGAGCTCATGCTATCAGAAAATCATATTTTCAATACTTGATTTGACTAGATCTCAGTTTGATAAATGATTACACTTTATCCATAGTCAGTGTCTGACAGTGAAACATACAATCCTGGGTCCTTTCTTTGTCATCCTGTATAAACCACAGTCTATGATCGTACTGGTTAAATTCGATGGAAATCATATTTATGTTCTTCTTAAATCCTGCATCCTCTTAAGTTTGGTTTTCTTGTTTCAGTGTTCCAAGAGAGGATATTCTGTTAGTCTTTGCATAATCTGAGAGTCTTTCACCATTCTAAGAGTAGACATAGATCATTTCCATAACCTCTCACTAGAGAATCCTGAAAAAATAAAAAAATAATGTCTTAGTTGAAAAAAAAATTGTAATGTAATATAAGCTTGATGGAATTCTACATATAGACAAAAAGGGTATAAAAACAAGTTATAACATAAGATTTTGACTTTTCATATTAACCATGGGTAACACCTCTAGTAAAGAAAAGAGTAAAGGAATGAGTAAAATTCAGTTCGGAGAGAGAATTCTTTCAGAGAAAGATGTAGACAGAGGTATACCAGTTAAAATAAAAAAGATGGCACTATTGAGATCATTTCTCAAGAAGAATATAACCAATTATGTCCAGAAAAGGGTGATCCTAATGTTGTCAGAGATTACATAGAAAGACCCTTGATTGCAGAAGAAGCCAATGAAGAATTATAACCATTTATTACCAAAAGAGGGTGAGAATTACTTGGATTACCCTGAAAGACCTTTGACTAGAGAAGAAGTCAAGTTTATAGATGATAAGAGAAAACAGTTGTCAGAAAAAAAAGATTGTTAAAGACACATGATTTTTAGCCCACAAAACCATTGGAGATACAAGGATTACAAGATACAAGGATTAATGGAGGAAGTCCAAACTGAACTCTTGGAAGACATTAAGGCTCATTATGAGAGTAACTTTCCAGTGTTTGTTTATTACAAAATTATGTATTCTGATAAAAAAAAAGAAAAGTTTTTACTTTCATTTGTTGTGCCTTTGACCATTTAAATTGACCTTATGGTCAAGATTGTGATATATACACTCTGATAATCATCTATGATGTCTCTATGATGTTTACCTCAAAAGATTGAATCAGGGTATTTGTGTTCAAAGAGCTGAAGAAACTATACAGACAGATCTAAGATGTTGGAAGCATACATATTAATGAGGTTAAAGGAGATATAACACTAGATTATTAAAAAGAAAGAACACAAACTCATAGAAATGATATTGAAAGTGCCTTTTATGAATAAAGTGTCATGCTCCAAGGTATTATTTTTATAAACAGGAGAAGGATTACAGCAGTTCCATACACTCATAAGAAGATCTTGGGTAGTAGAAACACCAGGAAATTTTATTTCCACACAATCAGATCATCTTACATCAGTTACAAGGTTACAATCTTTATACATAGTCAAGAGGGTCATTAAGATTTCTTTTCTGGTCATCCTAATGAGCCACATTATAGTATTCTTTCTCTTTGATAGAATGTTAATATTAAATGGAAAATTCAGAATTCATCAGCAATTGAAGTCAAAACTTCCTATCTTTACCAATTATGCTATTAAGGAAGCTGGGGGTTAACAAATTAGCCATATTTAACTTATTCTATAAATATGCTATCTTCAGCTGTTAACTATCATTTGGCAAAGAAAAATTTCATACATTTTAGTTTTAAAAATTTGATCATGAATTTTTATGCCTTTTCTTCTTCTTCTAAAGGATATCAATAGAGTTTAAACATGACCATGACCACCAAGCCCTCTTTATTTAAAAAAAATCATATATCATTTACTTATCAATTCAAAATATAAAAATGCAAATGTAAATAAATAAATAAATAAATAAATAAATAAAAATTACAATTGTATCTCATTGAAACTTTACCTTCAAGTTTGATTGTTTCTATGTTGGTTGACTAACTATGTATTTCCAAAGGAATTTGGGCAGACAGGCTGAACTTCATAGAGAATGGATTATAGATGGTTAGGAATAAAACATATCTTCCAGGTTGAGGACTGTAGAAAATATAATCATTTTGTTAATATGACAGAGTACTGCATGAAACATTGCATGTTTAAATACAACATGTACAATACCAAAAAAGATCATGAAAATATTTGTTTTTAATCTCAAAAAATTGTTTTTAACATTAACTCCAGATGAGAAAAGTTCATCATGTTATCTATAGATAATAAACAAGCACAACTACTGTATTAATATCATAAATAAAATGATTATCAGATTAATTATTTAGACACTAAAAAACTTACTATCTTTATGATATTGATTTCCATTATCAGATGTTTTTTATCCATTTTTTTTATCCATTTTAAAATATAAACATTTAAATAAAACAGAATTAAATAAATTAAAATGATATCTCATTGAAACTTTACCTTCAAGTTTGATTGTTTCTATGTTGGTTGACTAACTATGTATTTCCAAAGGAATTTGGGCAGACAGGCTGAACTTCATAGAGAATGGATTATAGATGGTTAGGAATAAAACATATCTTCCAGGTTGAGGACTGTAGAAAAATATAATCATTTTGTTAATATGACAGAGTACTGCATGAAACATTGCATGTTTAAATACAACATGTACAATACCAAAAAAGATCATGAAAATATTTGTTTTTAATCTCAAAAAATTGTTTTTAACATTAACTCCAGATGAGAAAAGTTCATCATGTTATCTATAGATAATAAACAAGCACAACTACTGTATTAATATCATAAATAAAGTCATTATCAGATTAATTATTTAGACACTAAAAAACTTACTATCTTTATGATATTGATTTCCATTATCAGATGTTTTTTATCCATTTTTTTATCCATTTTAAAATATAAACATTTAAATAAAACAGAATTAAATAAATTAAAATGATATCTCATTGAAACTTTACCTTCAAGTTTGATTGTTTCTATGTTGGTTGACTAACTATGTATTTCCAAAGGAATTTGGGCAGACAGGCTGAACTTCATAGAGAATGGATTATAGATGGTTAGGAACAAAACATATCTTCCAGGTTGAGGACTGTATAGAAAATATAATCATTTTGTTAATATGACAAGGAACTGCATGAAACATTGCATGTTTAAATACAGTGCTAAAAAGTTCATGAAAATAGTTCATCATGTTATCTTTAGATAACAAAAGAAGCACAGTTACTGTATTAATATCACAAATACAAAATGATTATCTGTGTAATTTTTAGACACTAACAGACTTTCTCTTAACAGCATATTCAATTTTGTTTAATACCTGTCAGTACAGCATACAAAAAGATATTAGCATATACAACATGTAGTCCTACATTTTTTGAAAAGCTCATTACCAAGAAAAAAAAGTGAAAATGAAAATATATGTATGCCATATATACCACATATTTAGAATCAAAAACAAGGATAAACCTCTTGTAGATTCTTACTTTTTCTTTTATTACATTCCTTATAGATCACAATTTAGTAAGTCTGAATTCCATGGGTAACAGACATAATGAATTATGACATTATATCATAATTTATGCAAAAGGACTTATTAACAATATGAAGTTTCCTTAGTATATTTTAGACAAAATAAGACTGTGCTTATATGAATGTTAGAGATATTAGATCACATAAGAATTACACAGTAATTAAATTAAACCATATAATCATGGTTAAATGCAAATGACCTTCATAGGAAATGTAAACAAAACAAAGACAAACTTACCAGAATTATCCAATTATATGCCCAATTAAATAATCCAGTGAAACAACATCTTAGCTGATCCTGAAAAAAAGCATACAATATTCAGTGATACACAAATTAACCTCATTTTACAAAGGAAGTAAAGCAACAATTGACAGACAAACACGACAGAAATGTAAAAGATACCATATGTATTTTACCAAAATTTAGTAAATATTTTTTCTGATTTAAATTCAATCACAGAATGACCCATCGTAGTAATATTAAATACACTCTGGGTTACATGCAAATTATACCTTACATGAACTGAGAATAAATACCCCATTTACATTCATATAAACTGAATTTTACATAACTAATTACTCTTTTAACTGATGTCACCATTAGTATGTCAGAATATTCAGAGTGTACAAATCATGTATATTCACTTTTAAAGTACTCAATATATATTTTACATGTTGATGTTTGAAATCACTGACTAAATAAAATACATACATGTATATACATGAAGGTTTAAAAAAAAAAGGGGGGGCACACATGTTTATAGATTTACAGAGATGCTCAGACTGAGTTTTTCCCACTTTCATTGGGCCACTGTTGCACCAGAATGTAAAAATATGAGTGACAAATAAGGCAAAAGATTCTGTATATTTCATTAAAAAAGATTTGAGACAAAAGATTCATTGGCATAATATGATCTGATTGATTATCTCCATATCCTTCTTTTGGTCACTGTGATTAAAGATTCATAGAAATATTAGAAATAACAACTGAGAATATCACTTTAGTTGTTTTAAAAGCATGTATCAGTATTTTATAAGATATGCTAGGAGTCTCCTCATAAGAATATTTAGAATACTGATCCAATAAAAGGAATGTGAGACAATATGATCATAACTCATGCAAAAAAGATTTATCAACATTTTAAGGATCTTTTAGTGTCCTAGTGTATTTCAGGGTAAACAATGGCAGTGTTTATATGAATGTTCTAAACATAAGGTATATAACACAGTAATAATGAATAAATACAAAGATGACCTTCATAGAAAATGTATAAAGAAAAGTTTGTTAAAACTTACCATGTAACCAGGTAACTCAGTAGAGTAATATTCATTAAATAATCCAGTGAAATAACATCTAGGCTGATCCAGGATTCAGCTGTTCAGAACTTTCTTGGAAGAAAAACGGTAGAAAATCAGTTTTGGTACTGAAATCCATAGGACCATACTGTTATTACATGAAGTCTCAAGCGCTGTGAAAGTCTGTGTTATTGTGTCAAAATAAGCAGCCATCGCGGCTTGTGAAGGACTAACATGACGTCGCTGCCAAGTTTATGACGTCACAATGCATAGGTAAGTCTATGGTATGTTTTGCACACGGCCCCCTTACAGATGATGCAACAGGTATAAAAACGCAGGTAAAACGTATTGATGCACAGGGCCCTTACAGTAAAGGTATATAAACCATGTGTGTTTTTGTAATTGTTTTCAGTAAAAAATCCAGGTTTTTATTGTTTTGAGGAAATCAGTTTGAACCGATTAGGCTAGGCTGGGTAGACTGTGAAGCGTGACGTTATAATTAAATTCTTGAGTCGCTGACAAAATCGTAGTAGCAGAGTAAACCAGTGGCGGATTTAAGGGGGGCGCACCCGGCGCGCGCCCCCCCTAAAATTGTCAAAGTTAGCGTAAATCAAATATGTCTACTTGGTAGAATTCATTTTTACCCTTCAAAATCTCTAGAATCCAGGAGCTTCCGGGGGCTTCGCCCCCTGGGCCCCCACCAGGGCTTTGGTAGACCTCATTTTAACCCTTCAAAATCTCTAGAATCCAGGAGCTTCCGGGGGCTTCGCCCCCTGGGCCCCCACCAGGGCTTTGCCCTGGCCCCACTGGGGGCCTCACGGCGGCCCCCAGACCCCTTGCCTAATTTTGGCTTGCCTTTTGCTCCACATGCAACCTTATATAAAATATCTGACAATTTGTCTTCAATTAAGAAAGGCCCTCTCCAAAACGATGTTAACTTCGGAGTTCTTGCGGATAAGTAAAAGGCGACGAGTCACGAGCTGCAGAACTGTAGCTCTCTGGTCGTCCATATCCTTCTTTTCAGACCAGCGAGCTATATAATGTAAACACAGTGTAAACACCCCGTATAGGACTTATAGGGGCTATGTACTAACCCACGTAGCCCCCTAGGGTTAGGGTTAGGGTTGTAGTGAGTTGACCCAGCTATCCCCCACAGACCCCCTAATCTGCACTCTCTTCACCCACCTATCCCCCCCAGGGGCTGCACTCCCTTGACCCGCCTATCCCTCACAGGGGCTGCACTCCCTTGACCCGCCTATCCCCCTCAGCCCCAGAAGTGCACTCACTTGACCCACCTATCCCCCCACAGCCCCAAAAGTGCACTCAGTTGACCCACCCATCCAGACCCCTTATACTACTCTCCATTATTTCAGTTTGTTCATTAACATGTTCATAAACGTAAAAACTATAAGAAATGTGAAAACTTGACTATGTAATTCATATTTCAATATGACTGTACCTCGATCTATATTGAAAAATTCAATATATTATATATAAGCTCATGAAAAGATGTACACATTTGACTTTTATTTATACCCCCCCCCCCCGCAAAAAAAAGAAAAGCCTGTTCATTTGACTTCTCGCTACCAATTTTCACACAAATGCATAAAATAAATGTAAAATAGCATATCTTGTATCGATTAAAATGCAACCAAAAAAATTATAGTGTCTTTGATTAAAAATTTCATGCTAAATTGACATAAAAAAGATACTCACCTTCAATTAGTTTTTTTCAAACTGTTTTCCCGTGAGTATTTATTTAATCTTATTTTATTTTCTTCTTTATAATAACGTCGGTATTCTATTATGGCAGAGATATACAATTATGACTCGTTTATACTGTACTCTCTAACTGTTAGGAATAATTTATATTTCACGAGAAAGGGACGCCATACATTTTTCAGTAAAAATACATAACACGGCGTTAGTCGTTTAATTTCTTTAAAATTTCACGTTTTGTGAATAGTGCACAAATTAGAAAATTAAGTATATGGAATACTTTAATGGGAAATAAAGACAAACGAAGTGTAGTTATTTGTTTTTAGAAATTATATTGAAAAATAATAACGCCATTGTGTCCTCTTTGTTACCCCAGCAGTGTTTGTCGTGTGATTTTAAACTTATTTGACAACCGTATGAATTAGGTTTAATAAAATAATTCCACAGGATACTGATGTACAAGTAACAGTTACTGGCATAATGCGCCGTTGCTTTATTCTTTAGTTTTTATAGAAAGTTGCACGGAATACCCGATTTCGCGGATTCAACGATACCCTAATATCGAGTATTATACGCGATTTCACGGATAATACCCGATTTCGAGTATTCTCTCCGACCTGTTAAACCTGGGAATGTCCAGATTGGAATGAAACGTTTTACTACTTGTAATGATCAAAATTTCATTAATAATAATTATTGATTAATTATTAATTTTCTAGAATCAAACACTTTACTTTCTTTGGCCAACTATTGTACGAAGTGGGCAGCATCCGAAGGGTTTTACAGGTTAAGCATGGCCAGTTTTATTGCGTATGAATTTAACCTTCCAAACCTAGAGACCATGTTGTCAATTTATTTCTATTGTAATGCCCTATTCTAATTACGCAAGCATTACTTTCCTTAAGGCCCCAAAGTTCCATGAAATGAACATTACAACTAGAAGTGAGCAATGAGCTCACTAAATGATATTCTCCTTCTCACATATGATTATAATGACAAAGTCCACATTTGGTTTTGGAATTGTCAGATCAAAAAGTAAAATAGGAGGTCACAATATGGCACTATGTATCTGTAAAAGTCTCACGTAATTTCATTCGGTAATATAAGATAAGTTGCAGATACATGTACCCCCAAAGCGTAACCGATGGACGAACGGACAGCTAGACATACAGGCAGACGGACTTTACATGAATATATCAAATATTTTCATTTGAGTTTTGCTTCCCGCTTTTGCGATATTCAATTTCATTCGTCTGTCAGTCTGTCCGTCTGTCAGTCTTTCACAAAAACTTTAATCTTGGTCATAACTTTCATATCACACATGCACATTACCTGTGACAAAACTTTCTAAACATACAATTCTTTTGACCCCTTGACTTTGACCTTGAAGATTCTACTTTAAAAATATTATCTTTATCTTTCCTTATATTATTGTGTAGAAATAGGGCTTACATATCTGACATTACATATCTAACATCTGCTTTACCATTGACAAGATGTTTCAGAGCTTGATATGATTTTTGACTCCTTTTTTTTTTTTAGAAAAAAATTACTTTAGTGATTACTTTGGTATGAAATATGTTAGGGCGTTCAGGTATGTATTTGCAACAATATGTCATTAATAATAGGATCTTATTCACCAAGACACAAAAAGCGAGGTACAAGAGTTCTTTGAATTTGCTTGGTGCTTCAATTATCAAAACCAGAATAATGATATATTTTAGAAACATAAATGAAGAAGAAATCATTTTGTGACGGAAAACGGATAAAAACGCACTCTGAGGCATCCCTTCGGATAAAATTGTTTACTTGCTAAGGATGTTAACGAGTTAATGCCTTATGATTGATCTGTTTCTTAAAGTCTCTAGAAGGTCATTCCAGTACATGTACCTACTGCAAACAAAGATACTGTCATTATAATATATCTATATTTTAAATTATTAAAATAATGTAAAGATATCAATCTTATAATACTTAGTAGTCAAAATATTCCCCAAGCTCTTCTCAAAAGAAGTGAAAATAACTGTTCATATCATTTTATACGAGGTCTTCCTGTCAATATGTGTCCGCTTTTCTCTTTTATTTTCTGTGCTGTTTTGGGCTCATTGTTCGCTGCTATCACTACAAGGTCTACAATGAATGGTGAATATTTTTTTGCAATTATATTATAAATATATCTTCAATTATTTGCCAGCATATATAATGAACTTTAGTTTGGTTTTAATTTGTTTTAACAAGTTGACTTTATTCATAAAGTTCTCATCTTTTAGTTCAATAAGAAATTTGAATTATATAATGTTGCAGCTTACAAAATACGAATATAGTTAATTAAATCAGTACATTTTTCTTAAATAGGTGCTCAAATAAGAAATGTCTAAAATATTTAAAGAAAAATATTATTTATTATAGCAGTTAACTGTCAGATAATTGTTTGCTCAAGGAAGTGGATTTTTTCTGCTAATTTTTTCTACCTTAACTTTTGTAGAATGTTCTACAAAAAGAGCAGATATTGTGTTTTTACTTGACTCATCGGGATCTGTGGGAGCAACAAATTTTCAAAAGCAGCTAGACTTTGTGAGAAAGCTTGCCAACTTGTTTGTCATAGGACCCGGCAATGTTCAGATTGGAATTGAAACATTTTCTACCACTTTTCATCATCAATTTTTCTTAAATAAGTATACCATCAAAACATCATTGCTTCAAGCTATTGATAAAATACCATACCAAGCGGGAAGCACCCATACTGATTTAGCTTTGACAAATGTTATGGAGCATGATTTTAAACCGACTGCCGGGGCCAGAGACCATGTGGTCAGTATTCTTATTGTAATGACTGATGGCATGTCTAATAACGCAAATGCTACTACCTTGCAAGCCAAAAAACTCCATGAAATGAATATAAGAACCTTTGTTATTGGTATTGGCAGCGGAATTAATCTAGCTGAATTAAGGCTCATTGCTTCTGATCCCCAAAAGGTGTTTACAGTTTCTAACTTTGATGCTTTGAACACATTGGAACTTGAAATTATGAAAACAACCTGTGAAGGTAAGAATCTTGGTCTCTGCTTTTTCTGGTTAATGTCCCTCCATCGTTTTTAACGTTTCCTTAGCATTGAAAGAGGGGAATTATTTAGAGGGATAAAAATCAAGGATAGACCCTTCAAGCAATAATATTAGTGCTAAACCATAAAACCAAAACTTCTGAATAAATTAAAAAATTTTGAATTTGAAAGATTCCATCAGATTTTTTACAACCCATGCTGTTATTCAACCTATAGCTACTACTTTCGATAGAAGCTATTTGACAAGTCTAGTCCATGTGTCTTTGTTTACAAACTTTTATTAAAGTGGACTTTATAGAAAAGCCGGGCGTATGATAAGAAAATATCTAATACAATTTAAAATACAGATAGTTTATGATGAATATAAAATAAATACCAAATGGTCACTCTCGGGCTAGTTGTTAGGACTTTTCAAAATTAATGAGTATATTACAAATCATGATAAATGTACCTTTCTAGTCTAATATGAGAAATAAATCTTACCCTCCGATATTTTTATGAATATACAATCAATGAAATTGAAATGTTTGAGGTTCATGTTTGGTCATCGTATATGTAACTGTAGAGACAGTGTTACGAATGAAATAAAACTAAAATTTAAGAGAACCTGTACCGACCTTTCAAATTGTATCTCGAACTTAGATACCTCGGAAGCCATTAATATGATCTGGTCGTCTTAATCATTTTTTTTTTCTTTATACAATTTATGCTCAAAATCCTGAATCTTTAAATGCTAGTATTTCTCGGCCCTTTTTGAATTTGAAATAATGATGCTTGCATAACTGTATATTTTACCTCTTTTTTTCCAGTGTCATATGGGAATGACCCTCCGGCCGTTTATCTAAAAGATGTCATACATTGGATAGAATACATAGAAATCTCCGTTCTTGCTCTCATAATTTTTGTTATCATTGGCTTTCTTGGCTGCTGCTGTCGATTTTGTTTCTTTTTTGCAAAACGCCACGAAGAAGAGGAAGAAGAGGCTAAATATCGTAAACGAGTCTTGCAGCATCCACAAAACCTGTCATCTTTTCGAGCCTGACCCACTTTCGATTATAACATGCTGATATTTTTAGTCATTATCTCATTTTCCATGATTTTTATAGGAATTATTTTAAGATTATTTTCTGGTCAAGAATCGTATGTATATCTCTTAATGATTTTTTGCAACTGATACAGATTTTAATCCTCTCCATGTTTAATTTGATTTTTAAATTATAAACATACCGGTATGTTTCTATGGAAATTTTGGGTATATTATTTTGGATTCATTTTCCCCCAAGACATTATGTAGATGCATTATATATCTGCTTTTGAATCACCCAGAACACTACAGTTCTAAATATGATGATCATAGTATGGTAGTTTTTTCATGCCATAATTTATTGTTAATTACTTCTTTCATAAAATTTTCAATAAGTCAGCAATTAATATTCACAAAAAACACAAGTTTTAATTTGTGCAGCAAGAGTGAAATGGATGAAATTTCTCTATTGTTTTTATTGTGATTTTCTGGTTCATGTTAGAAATAAACAAATTAAAGCCTTGAGCTTTTAGGATTTGATGCATATTTTAAAATGATGTACCTTTACTAAATTAATAAACCCAGTCAAATTCTTTTTTACATATATATTATGCAATATATACCGATGAGCTTGAAATAAAAGATGCCACAAAGTCTGACACATCTATTCCATATTTGGATATTTTAATAGAAAAGGACGTTAATAGTAATCTAACAACAAAGCTATATGATTTATAAACGTGATGAGGAATTTAACTTTTCAATCATCAACTTCCCTTGCTTATTCAGAAATATGCCTTTATCACCTGCATACGGGGCTCATAATTATATCTTAATTGATTCGATATGCAAGAGCATGCTCAACGTATGAACAATATCTAAAACGAGGTTCAGTTACTGTCAAAGAAGTTGATGAAACAAGAATCTGAACAATCTCGTCATTTCTTAAGTTCTTTGGTCGATAACAATGATCTTGTAAACAAAATTTAATACAATCTATCATTAAGTCATATGCTGATTGACGGTTTTCATACTTTGTGTTAGAGCTTTATTTATACATTTGAACACTGAATTCTATACGGGTTTTTCCGTTATTTCCCGATTATGACAATTAAGAAGCACACGGTGGGTGAGACGTTTTGGCAGGGGATGCTCACTCCTCCATGGAACCTCATCCCAACTCATATATTTTAGGGGTCCGTGCTTGCCCTGCTCCAAAATTTGTATTGTTTAATGGACTTTGGAGCGTGAATACTGTTCGCTATCTCGATATATTTCACTATCAATTGGAAGCAGAGCAAACGAGGACCACGGAAAACATCTGATATGGGATCAGGTATCATCTAGATCATCTAGTATGGAGATTGATTAATTGTATATTGATTAACGTCCATCTCGAGATTTTTCACTCATACTAAGACACCACCACTTGCCGATGGACAGCTGCAAATTTTGTCCATTGAGCAGGGAGGGGTCTTTTTCGTGCGAGCACTTACAGCGACAGGGAACCTCGGTTTATACGGTTTCATCCGAAGGATCGGTCTCCACGTCCGAAAGTGGGATTCGAACCCGCGACGTAAGGATTTGAAACTCCTTACTTCGCGACTCTAGAACAGACGCTCTAACCACTGCGCTATGCGGGCAACGGTACTATGGTGAAGTACTTGTAATCATCCCTTGTCAGACAGTCACCCCAACTGTGTACCCTTGTAAAATTCAATTTAATAACAAAATTAAAAATATGTAAAGTCACTATTCAGTATGGAAATGAAATATGGCGTAATAATTTGTATGAAAGAAATTGTATTCATTTTACTTATCTGCAAACTGACCATTGAATTTGCAAAATGAAATTGTTTATACTCCAGACCTTTTATCATCAACTATTTGCCATTGTCCAGTATCGTTTTAGAAAAAGTTTGTACATGGAATAATTTGAAGGTGAAAATGGTATAATGCTGCCTATAAAATAAGGGGAAGTTAACCATAGAAAATTTGATGTCATCGCGTTCAGTGTAAGGTTTGCATTAATGTCTTCCAATATCAAAACATTCAAATATGCATCAGACGTTTCAGATTCTCATGAGATATATATAGGATCAGAAGGATCTCGCATGATTTGTAGTTGGATATGATTTTTATCCAACTGGTTGTGTTTTTCATACCCGAGACTTGGCGAGAGATAAAAAAAACACAACTCCTTGGATTAAAATCATATCCAACTTCAAATCATGGGATATTCTTTTTATCCCATGTTTAATACTTTACAACCGATGTTTTACACTGTTTTCATATTGGACTTCACTTTATTTTACTTCATCACGCTAACGCAAAAACCATTGTGACATCACAATTGTGGGATATGAAAAAAAATATCCAATGAGTTATATCCACAGGATAAAGGGATAAGCATGGGATAAACCGCAACAGAGAAAATAAATATTGTTAATATACTAAATGTCTTCCAATAATAATCTATGTAAATCACTAACTAAGTTTCATCATCAGGCCTGCATGAGACCTGTACCTACATGTATGTGAGGGAGTCATGAATTTAAAAAGATTACCAAGATTCGACAACTTATAAAATGATGCACTGTTCAAGATATATAAGTTGTAAAAGTGATTGTATCAGTATATTAAATACATACTGCAAAAACATAACGATGTTTTGCTATGTGTATTAACACGTAATATTATTATTAATTTCCCTTGAAATTTAATATGGTAAGAAATGTTTAAATATTCCCATTGTCACATCCATTAAAATCACCTAAAAGTTAAAGATTTAAATAAATGCTACGAATAAAATAAACAATAAAAACATTCCACTGAACTTACCAATATATTTATTAGCAATTAAAAGTTACATAATATATTGAAGCAACAATTATAGAGATCGGCTTTATACAAAAATATAGTTTTGAAATCCTCACAACCAGACTTTCTTCAGCTCATATTTTCCCTCCTTTTAATTTTGGCAAAACAACTTAGTTTAATACAATACATACAAGTACTATTCTGTACATTTCTGTGTATACTATGTTAAAAAAATTGTAAAAAGAATTAATAGCTCATTTGTTAGCATGTAATGCTAGAGGGGTTTTGGGCTTTAGGCCATGATACTACATGTACGTACTATTAAACATTATTGTTTTTTGTCAAAATGTTCTGCTTACTGAATACTAAACATATAGAGAAAAGTATTACATGTAATACTTTGCCTCCATACACATGTTTGACTTATTGTGTGTGTGCTAAAGTAATTATAAGTCCTAAGCATATATATAGACATTCTTTTCCTATATGATTTTCCAAAGCAGCTTTTATGAACACAGAAACTCTGACTTAATAACTTAAACACATTTAAAAGGTTTTAAAAATTTTCTGAGAATTTTTCATTACGAAACTCATCATTTTTGTATTGTTTTTTCAGGAGTTATCTTCATCCACTTCTCAATGGGCCTTTAATTTTTTTTGTCACTTGAAACTTAGCAAAATTATTATATAAGGAAGTGAAAATAGTGAAATGTAAAATCACACAGGGGAAAAATTTGCTGTATTTACTGTTGAGGGTGCAGTAAGCATTTCCTTCATTGGGAAACTCAAGTGAAATCTATATACATGTATATTCCATCTCCAAATTTTGTGTAAACTAATTCAGTCAATGCCTTTTGTAAATTGGTACAATTTGCATAAAGCAAATTGAGGTTATCAATTGGTTGCATTTTGAATAAACCAATTTCTTATTCCAGAGTAGAGAATTGTTTACAGACAATATATTATACATGTATATCATTTTATTAACATTAAAATTATATCAAGTTTTACATACAACTGTTTTGAACACAATTATTATTTTTTTTTTATAACACACTTGAAGACTGGCATGTCCTTTTATAATTATGCATAGTAAAATCTAATGTAGCAATGAAAATATCAATATGATAAGGCCGTGCAAAATTAATTACTTGGTTCTCAGGCCTTTTTTCAAGAAATACGATGAGGGAGGGAGGCATTTTTTTTTCTGTTCTTTATTGCCCCCAAACACATGATGAGGCAGCTTTTTACATTGTACAAAACCTCAAAAAATGATGAGGGAGGTGATTTGGTGTTTATATTTTATTACATGATTTAGCAATAAAAAATTGGTCAATGAGGCACCCTTGGAAGAGATGAGTATATTATACATGTATATCATTTTATTAACATTAAAATTATATCAAGAGGGCACAATTATTAACCAAGAAATTAATTTTTTTTTGCCTAAACAAGCTCTTTTAAATATAAATAACATATACTTGTATTAAATTAATGAACCAATTGGTGCATTCAACTCTGATGTATTCCCACACCAGTACATAAGGTTGTTGACAACCTCTAGAAACCTCTAGAATGTTGAAGTCAAGAAGTAAAATTACATGTATATATTTTTAATAATTTCTCTAGTTTCAAAAATATTCAAAGCACATTTCCAACATAATTTTTGACAACATAATACCATTTATTACATGTACAAATATTAAAAACATTCTTCTTATAAATCTACTTGAACAATTTATTTTCTTGACAGTACATGAAATTTTTGACAAGCAAGACCTCTATTATATCATTTCAAGTTAAGATGTAAAGTTAGATCTTTTCAAATACTTCTCAAGTTTCAAATACATTTTGAGCACATTTCTAAAATGATACCTCAGGAGAAAAAATTAACAAGTTTTTAATACTTAAAAAAATGGGGGTTGAGACAAATTTAACTACATAAAGTACATAGGGGGGAATGAATGCATATACTTAAAGGGTATGGACAGCAATAAGGTCCTCTCATTGATCTAGGATCTGAGGGTGTCTTCCCCCTTACTTTGTGGTTTGTATATGAGCAGTATGTCTTCATCTGTTCCATGGCTCTTGCGAGCTTTGTCAAACTTGTCCATCTGGGAACAGCACATATCTATCAATGTAGATGTCAGCTTTAAAAATCTTTTAAATATACATATTAAAAGAAGTTTTCTCTCTATATATTACTAACACCTGTGTAAAAGGTAATATTTCACAGTACATGCCTTTAAGTTTAATATATAATTCTAAATCTTATAAACTGCTCATTGTTAAATAAATCTTACCCTCATCATAGGAAGGATTTTTATAAAAAATCCATTTCTTTTTCAAGTCAAATCCACACACCACAACATAGTGACCTACAAAACAGTAGAAAACTCTATCATAGAATGTCCTTAATACATCAGATGTCCAAAATGGAAAAAGAATTAATTGATAACTGATCCTGCAGATTCATCTAAAAATATAACTTGAAATGCTTAAATGAGCTTTAATTTTTTATCCTATGCATGCCAGAGAATATTTTTATTCATTTACCCTGATATGTTTTGCAACAATGCCCACACCAGTTTAAACAATGCTGCTTCTGAAAAATGAAAAAAAAGAAACCTGATAATATTTTTCAATAAAGATATAATAATATAACCTTATTTGCTCTCTATAATAATCCGTTTTTATGCTTTTGAAAAAGAAAAGATGAGACAAATTTAACTACATATATATAGGGGGTTCTTCGATTATACAGTCATGCAAGATAAAAACTACTTTTCAATGAAAGAAGTATCTTGATGCATAACAGTCAGAGTACCAATTGTAGCTATTGTTAAGATATAATAGTGTAGCATACAGAATGAGAAAAAAGAGTATTCAATATACTAACCACCCTGTCACACCACATACACTCAAGTGAGCTCCAATCAACCAGGCATATCATCAGATTGCCCCCTGATAGGTGACTTATTATGTCTTTCATGCTTAAAGACCTGTCAACAGAGACCAAAATGTTAAATATTTTTATACAAATGATGCTTTTTTATGACAAAATCCCAAAACTATTGTTGTTCATGGATGATCTTTTTTGCAACAAAATTGCACATATACAGTATGTAGGTAATTTTTTTTTTTATCTCATATCTATATGCATACTCTTTTTATGCCAAAACTGGATTTTAATTATAATTACTAGAGAGAGCTTACATGACTCCCTTTAATTAATGCTAAACTTGTCTCTAAAAGGATAATATATTTATGTTGCTAAAGAATAAAATTTAAAAAAAACTATCCCAATTACCTTTTGGAAACATCAAGTCCTGATTGGGAAGCCTCAGCAAACTTTCTGCCAACCCTTTCAGCATCTTTGTCAAAATTACGCATATAGAATGGCTAAAAAACACACAAAAATTCATGCATTAAGATGTTAACAAATACCTTATAAATCAATCATTACGTAAAAACATATTTTATCAATGACAAAGTTGCTCCTAAAAAACTTAAACATTATATAATAATTCATTAATGAATGCATCATTACCTTTCTGGCATATTGGTCATCCACCCCCAGAGTAATCGTGGAGAATTCTACCCTGACTTTGTACTTAAGTAAAAGATATCCCAAATCAATGGTCCATATACTGCAACAATAACAACAGTCAAAATCATACTTAAGTAAAAGCTATCCAAAATTAATTTGTTTAATGATACCCAAGATATAAGAATATCATTTCCCGATTTTCCATAGCTGACTTTTGTTGTTCTTCTATTAGTATATAAAATTTAATAATGTGCAAGAATTAACTTGATGATAAAAACATACTGCACGTATACAAAATTTAGCGCAATCAATGGATATGGAGTGGTTGGCGTAATCAAGATTTAGCGCTACACATGTTCGTGCCATATATTCTATTTATAAATGAATTCTTAGCAATATTTATGAATTAGCTCATTTTGTCTGCACCAAAGCTGCTAAATTATGAAGCAAGCTATTTTATGTACACATACAGTATATTTATGACCAGATGCATACCTTTGACCACACTGAAGTTCATCCAGATCACTGGTATAAACACAGGAATCATCTTTTCCCAAATATCTACATTGATACAAAGTTTAGCATACCGATTACTTTTTGTGCAAACTTAGTACAGCATTATATGCAGTATCTTATTTAGAGTTCTTCAAGCTGGGACATTTAAAAGAAAATTTAAGATAGAAGTACTGTATGCACACTCACAAAATAATGCCAATACATTTTTTTTTAATTTTTGCATACAAGTACTTGGACAATACAATGTTTTTCTTGGTTATGAACAAAAATAGCCTATAAACTGATAACAAAATAAACTGGTTCAAGAATAACTGTTTTAACTTTACACACTATACGATGCAACAATTAAAATAATGATTTTACTTTAAACTGTCTTTATGAATTAGCCTATATCAAGAAAATGATGACATATTAAAATATCATGAACATAATGACATATTAAAATATTGACCACAGCATGAATCATGACATATTAAAATATTGACATTATCACAAATCATAACATATTAAAATATTGACCTTTATAGCACAAATCATGACATATTAAAATATTGACCTTAGCACGAATCATGACATATTAAAATATTGACCTTAGCACCATACAACAGCAGGCCAGTCCACAGTCCCAACTGTAAATCTGCATACACGTCTCCAGCTTCAGCAGAAGTCTTTCTTCCTGAAAGACATCCTGCTTTTGATCTACAAAGACGGGATATTTTTCTTAAAATATACAATGTTCTTACACATGCATTTTACTTAAAAATGTAATATTCTACAGATTTGTGTGTATCTGTACCTAACTGAACTGTAACAATGTTATGTAAAATGTTTCAGTGTATATGAACATACATATAGTCACGAAATCATGTTTTATTCACAGTTAATTATTTTGTTGAAACATTATCAATTATTTGCCTAGCCATATTTTTTTGTAACTTCACTCTTTACCACGGCAGGGGCTAACAAATACCACTGCCCGACATCCAGGACTAGAGGTGAGAATATCAAATGAAAGTGTGTAATTGGCACTGCATGGACAAAAGGAGAAATTTATGACAGTTATGATCAAAGCATAGAAAATGATCAAATATGCTGATAAGTACATTGTCCATAAAAATGTTTAGTGGGAGAACTACAAAACTGCATCTACACATACTAAGTATGAGAAAAGAAAACATTTATTTTTTAAGAATATAGCAAGCTTTCAGAATCTTGACTATACATCCGAAATATGATAATCAAGTGATCCAGATTGTATCATACTTAAGAAATAAAGTCAGCGTTTTCATGAATGTTGCAGAATAACCTCCGAGGACGAAAAATGTTGTTTGAAAGATAAAAGCCGAGGCTTTTATATTTCAAACAACATTTCTCGACCTCGGAGGTTATTCTGCAACATTCACTAAAATGCGGACTTTATTTCTATTCTACTTATACATGTACTTAGCTAGCTGCTCTAAAATACGACTGATCGTTTCTCTATAGAGAAACAAATTAGTAGAGATGGGTATCGCCAAAAATTTCGTATCGCGACATATCACGATTTTTTCCCACAATATCATGATAATATCACGATATTTTTAAAAGCAGTTTTTACAATGATGTTATATGAA